GTTGCGGCACGTAATATTGAACACTGTCATAGACCACATTTCAACACAAACTCAGCAAGTGTCCAAATGGACAGCACACATCAGTGTGACCAAATCAGAGACACTTCCTAAAAGAGGGAAAACTGAGCCGTGAGTCTTAAGTCCCCCACAGGCAAGGGGGTAGGGCCAACAGAAAGGGGATGCAGGCAGAGGGGGTATCACCTCCTGTGACCCTGGGGAGGTCACCCTAAGGATGAGGCTTAATTCCCCTTGACCTGCCTCTTACCCCACAGACTGGAAGGACCTCCCTCCTACAAGCCACCGACCCCCAAGGCCAGGCTGGAGGAACCAGAGATGGTGAGAACTCCTAGAGCCCAGGCTAGCCTGGCTTGATACCCACTTTTCCTCCCTGGGACCAGACTGAGAGAGGGCTGTTGGGCTGGGAACAGGCTGGCAGTCAGAGGCCACCCTGAAGAGCCCTGATCGCCCTCCCTGTCCTCCCGTAGCCCTCTCAGCTCTTCACTCTCGGGGCCTCGGAGCACAGCCCACTGAAGACACCATACTTTGATGCTGGTGTCTCCTGCGCTGATCAGGTAGGATCTCTGGGGTGAACCAAGGTGGTCTGGGCGGGGGGTCTGAGATACAGGGCTGAGGGTCAAGGCTAGGTGTCTAGTCACAGTTCAGATCACTGAGCTAAGCTGAGGACTCATGACTGAGTCTATCTATACTCAGTCAGAAGCCCAAGGACCCCACGTTAGATGGAGTGTCTCAACTGAGCATGTGCACTGGCCAAGGCCTGTGCTTACAGGGGAGATCCCACCATAGAGAGTCTCCTGGATACCACGAGTCAGATAAGGAGGCTTAAAGAGGTTGAGGTTTAAGGGGCTGTTTAGCAATCAAGGTTAAATCAACTGAAGACTGAAGTCAGAGATGGCTCATCAGTTAAGAGCCCTGGCTACTTTTTCAGAGGACCCAGGTTCTGTTCCTAGTACCCACATGGTGGCTAACAACCATCTTTAACTTCACTTCCAAAGGTGCTCTGACACCTTCTTCTGTCCTCTGCAGTCACTGCAGCAGTGCACTTAAATACATGCAGACAAAACACGTACACCTTAAACAACAACAAAAAAGACTGAGCCAGGCATGGTGGCACATGCCTTTAGTCCCAGCACTCAGCAGGAGGCAGAGGCAGATGGATCTCTGAGTTCAAGGCCAGCCTGGTCTGCATAGTGAGTTCCAGGACAGCTGGGGCTACAGGGAGACCCTGTCTCAAAAAGACCAAAAAAAATTTTTTTTTAATTTATTATTTTTCATATTTTTGAATTTATTTTTATGTGTATTCGTATATTGCCTGCATGTAGGTAAGTGCACCTGTGTGCAATGCCTGCAGAGGACAGAAGAGGCTATTGGATCCCCTGGAACTGGTGTGTTCTTAAACTGAGCCATCTCTCCAGCCCCTCTTGTATGTTTGTTTTTTTTTAATTTATTATTAAAAAATATTTTATTATTAGTTTATTTTATGTGTATGAGTCTACTGTATTATGTAAATGCACCCATGTCCTGCCATGCCTGTGGCAGTCAGAAGAGGGTGTCAGATCCAGATCGCCTGGAACTGGAGTTACAGACAGTTGTTACCCGCCATATGGTGGGAATCAAACCAGGGTCCTCTGAAAGAGCAGCTTTTATCCACCAAGTCATTCATCTTTCCAGTTCCTCTTGTATGTTTTGAGACAAGGTCTCACTCTGTAGCCCATGTCAGACTTGACCCCATAGTAACTCACCTGCCTCAGCCTCCCAAGTGGTAGGATTACAGGCATGAGCCACCAGGTCCAGCGGGCTTTGGACTAAGGGTGGCCCTGTGGTTACATTAGAGCAGTTCAGCTCCAGGGAAAATGGGTAGCAGTGCTGTAGTTAGGTTGGACTGGCGTGGGAAGAGGGTGGCCAGGAATCCGGGCTCAAGAAGCAAGTTTGGGATCTATCATGCCAATGAAATGACCTTGAGTTCCTCTCTGCTCTGTGCCTGCAGGAAATGCCTCGATACCAAGAGTTGCCTACCTTGGAAGAGCGATCTGGGCCCCTGCTGCTGGGGGCCACAGGCCTGGGCCCCTCCCTCCTGGTGCCTCCAGGGCCTTCTGCTGTAGAGGGAGTTTCCCTGGGTCTAGATGAGGAAGAGGAGGAGGAGGAGGAGGAGGAAGACTTTCTGGATAAAATCAACCCCATTTATGATGCCCTGTCCTACCCCAGCCCCTCTGACTCCTACCAGGGCAAAGACTTTTTCGTGTCACGGGCCATGTATGTGTGAGGTACAGTGTCTCTGGCCTCTCACTTATCACCCTTTACCCCTCAGCTTTCTGTCAGGTGGTCTAGAACTCCTGGCTCCTGGGCGAACCATGGTCTCCTATCACCCCATGCATTCCATCTGTGATTTCTACCATAGTGGCGCCAATGTGACCTCCAGTCTATGATTTCTGACCCAGAGAAACCTGCAAAACAACGGACACCTGAGACTTATCTCCTGAAGTGCAGATAGTTCTGCGCCAACCTCTGACCCCAAGGACTCCTAAGATCTAGCTGGACCCTTTGACCATGCCACACCTCCCACCTGCATCTCAAGAGTCCCAAAGAAGACTCCAGACCTCTGATTTGTCCCCAGGCTATACAGTCCCATAGGTCTGCAAGCTTGAGATTACGGGCTTCCAGTTGCTCAGACCTGAGCCCTCAAGGCAGCGGAAGTCCCTCTACCCCCTTCCTATTTCCTTTCCCTCCTGCAGGCAGGAGTCTCAGGGTCCACATCTTCCCCTCATCCCCCAACACCCTAGTTCCTGTCTCCAGAGCATGAAGCCCCAGCCCAGTGCTAAAGGGATGAGCCTCATCCAAGTGTGCCTTGCAACCCAAGGTTTGGGAGAAGTTGCTGTTACCCTGAAGACTACTGAATCCTTTTTATCCGTGCCCAGTGGGATGAGCCTAAACATCCTTCTTTAGGGGAAAAAAAATGGGTCATCTGGGTTGGGAGTTCAGGCAATGATACTGTTTTGTAAGCATTTCCTACAAAATAGGTGTTTATACTTTGACGAGATTTTGTGTTTTCTGTGAGCCTTGAAGGAGATGATAGGGTCTGACGTGGGGGGAAATGGCCAAGGACAACGGAGCTTGAAGGCATCAGTGAACTGTAATCAAGATGTAATACAGACCCCCCAAAAGGTCCAAAGATAACCTGGGACTTGATAGGGTAGCAAGCAAAGACGCATCAAGGAAAACAAAATGATAGGGTAGCATTCGGGGAGGTTCCCAGAACAGGCACACTGTATTGAAAAGGAATGAATGTAACAACTAATGAGAATGTCCAAAAATAACGGGAAAAAAAGATAAATTTAGCAGTAATCAGCTGAGAGGCTTAGGCAAGAAAGAATAGGCTAAGGGCACTTGGGAAGCTGAGGCAGGAGGACTGCCAATAGTTCAAGGCCATCTTGGGCTTATATAGAGTTCAGAAAAAAAAATCAAAACTAGGCTAAGGGAAAAATTATGAGTATTATTTTTAATAAAAGCCCCCAAAGCGTGATGGATAATGTATCTAAATGAGTGAGCAGAGGCAAAGAGATAAATAATGGAGAAATAGGGGCCGCAGGCATGATGGGTAATGGCCAGGAATGAATGGTTCCTCAACGTGACGGTTAATTAGCAAAAGGCCGGAAGGATGATGAAAGTGAACAAGCAGAAATGGGCTAAAGAAAGCTAAGGAAGTGAAGCGCAAATGAATGGGCGAGTGCATGCTGGGTAATAGGAAAGGAATGAATGGACCAAACATAGAAGCCACAGTGACCTGGGAGGAACAGACGGCATGATGGGTAACAAAAGGGGTGGGTTCAACACAGCTGTAGCGTTCAGGGATAAAGGGGCATTGTGGGTAACTACAAGCGGGACAGAGTTCACAAACGAGTTTAGGCATCTCCCGAGGCACTGTGGGAAGGGGCAGCACTTCCGGTTTCTCGGTCGGCGACCCTGCTCCTCCGCCGCGGTGCCTGGTGGGACGCAAGGCCTGACCTTGCTGCCTAGCAGCGTCTGCGGCGCAACGCACCTTCACTTGTGTCCTTTGACCCTGGTAAGTTAACCAATGAGAGAACTAAGTTAATACATAACCAAGGTCGGCCTCTGGAGCCACCAAAGCCAGTCAGGAAGAGGAGCAGCCAAAGCTGACCAATGACTACGGCGTTCGATATAGGGCGGGGCACAGGTCCGTCAGTAGAGGGGCGGGGAAACGCGCAATGGGCGTGCCAAGTCATTGGTACTGACCAATGGAGAACACGGTCTCGAGCCAATGGGAACGGACGCATCGAGCCAATGGGAACGGCCAGCCGCCCCTCCAAACGCTCGCAAGTGACAACCAATAGGAAGGGGTGTTTCTGCGGTGTGGGCGGGACTTCCCTCCCTCTCTCCAATAGCAGGCGGGAGTCCTGCGAGGGGTGGGCGGACCCCGGGGGACACTGAACCAATGTGCTGCAGGGGGGCGGGGATACGGCGGCGACGGCGGCAGCGGGTTCGGTTGCGCGTGGCGCACGGGGTAGGAGCGGAGCCCAGGCCGGGAACAGGCGCCGCCGCCAGTAAGAACCCGGGTCCGAGCGTGGTGGGAGGTGGCGGAGGCAGGCTCCGGGGGTGTGTGTGGCCTCTGACCTCTGGCCTCTCCCCTCGCAGATACCATGGGGAACGTGTTGGCTGCTAGCTCGCCGCCCGCAGGGCCGCCGCCGCCTCCAGCGCCGTCCCTCGTGGGGCTGCCGCCGCCGCCTTCGCCGCCGGGCTTCACGTTACCGCCGCTTGGGGGTGGCCTGGGCGCCGGGGCGAGCGCTGGCCGAGGTTCAGAACGGACTTCCGGGCCTGCGGCCAGCGGCGCTGCGGGGGCCGCTGATGATGGAGCCTGCGACTGCCTGCCCAACCCGGGCACGTTCGAGGAGTGCCACCGGAAATGCAAGGGTGAGGGGCCCGGACCCCAGATCCCTAGGGGAAAAGGAGGACAGCTCTTCCAGGGACCCTGGGAATTGGCGCGCATCGTTGCAGACATCGAACAGAGCGTTAGGAGTTCACGGTGGGGTGGGATGGTGGAACCTTGAACTTGGGGCTTGGAACTGTGCGATCAGAGTCCCTTACGGTGGAATGCCACAGCTGGAGAGAGAAGGCTTGGAGAGCTGAGAGCTTCGGAATCAGCCTTGCCAGACTATTGTGATCGGGAAGAGAACTGAGGCCCAAGGTCACAGTGTCAGCACGATGTCCCTTAGGTTCCCGTCAGGGGTGCAACCCAAGAGGTCTGGATCCTAATAACAGTGGTACACGCTTAGCTCTAATACTCAGTGTATGTTAACTCATTAAAACCTTGGAACAGCTCTAGGTGGTGAGGGTCCCCATTGTACAGATGAGAAATTTGTCAGGAAATAAGTTTCTTAAGTCACCCAGGTGATGGCCCTGGGTTTCAGTTACAGGCAAAAGGCCCTGGTACCATCCACTAGGTAGAGTTGCCCCTACTGGGTGGGATACTTTGTGTATCTCTGGAGAGAGCTGAGGATGGGAGGGAAGGAGAGGAGAATTTGAGGTGTGATGGAGGTTTTTTCTACAGAGCTGTTTCCTGTTCAGATGGAAGGTGTCAAACTTACAGTCAACAAAGGGTTGAGTAACCGATTTCAGGTAAGCCTCCCTGGTGCCTTGGTGCCCCTCCCCCCAGGTGGTCACAGCCATCCCCCTACGTGTGTGCTGATCACATTCTCTAAGGGCTGGGCTCTTTGGTATTTGGAAAGATTGAGGTACAGTAACACACCTCTCATCCCAATATTGGGAGGCTGAGGCTGGATCATCAATCATCCTGGGGTAGCTCGAGCTATGTATCAAGACCCTATCTCAAAACCTGAGATCAAAACAAAATACAACTCAGATACATTCCAGGTTGACTACTCAGGGGTGGTGGTGATGGTAGGATTTGGGTTTAGGGACCCAGAATCCAGGGATGCCTCTTAAAATCACCAAGTGAGACAGCAGCACCAGGTGTGTAGCTCACCCTAGCCCAACTCCCGTGAGTAGCCTCAGACTTTCTCAGCTCACACCCTCTTTTTTTTTCTTTTGTTTTACGCTGGTGGAACTCCAGATCTCAAAATTGTTGAGCATGGCCCTGCCACCAAATATCTGGCCAGTCTCACACCCCCAGTCTCCATATCCTGCCTAGCCCAGAGACCCTGTCTTTGCCCTCTCCAGCAGGGAAGCTGGGCTGGCCAGACCCTAACCCACACCTTGCTGTCTTCTTTCAGGTCACCCACACTGTAGCCCTTGGCACAATTGGGGAGTCCAACTACCACTTTGGGGTCACATATGTGGGGACAAAACAGCTGAGTCCCACAGAGGTAAGGTTTCTCAAGTTGTTCCTTCATTATGTCCTCCAGGAAATGAGCCAAGCACCCTGCTCAGGAGCTTGGTGGGGAGGAGACGAGTATTTGGGTTGTTGGGAGGTGGGACTCATAGGACTGTCCCTAGTTTGGAACACAGATTATTCCTGCAGCATCATCCCCGAGGCTCTGCTCTTTGCCTGGCCCTGGATGATGCTTGGTAGGGACCCAGATGCACAGATCCTGGCCAGATGTGGGGCAGGACCTAGAATGTCAAGCTTGGGGCTTGGACGTACTCCAGGGGGTGCTGGAGAGCTACCAAGGGATTGGATGAGAGACAGGATCAGGCTTCCCTCAGGCTGCCCTAGGAGCCTGGATTGTAGGGTGTGGAGTGGGGAACTGGAGGCCTGAGGAGGAGCTGACTGGTACTGAATTAGATCTCTGATTATATTATCTGCAAACATTTTTATTTTTTGAGACAGGGCCTTATGTAACCTAGGCTGACCTTGAGCTCACCTGTGGCTAAGGATGATTTTGAACTACCAATCTTGCTTCCTCCACTTCCCCAAGTGCTGGGATTACAAGATTTAATCACCACACTGAGTGTATACAGTGCGGCCAGCATTATGCAGTGCTGAAGATCGAGCCCAGGGCATGCTAGACAAGCACTGTGCCACCCAAGCTACATCCTCAGCCCCTACTTATTCATTTGGGGTGGGGGGCTGCATGATCATGTGTGCACTTGTTCACTTGGGGTGGGGTCCTGCATGATCATGTGTGCACTTGTTCACTTGGGGTGGGGGCTTGCATGATCATGTGTGCACTTGTTCACTTGGGGTGGGGGGCTGCATGATCATGTGTGCACTTGTTCACTTGGGGTGGGGTCCTGCATGATCATGTGTGCACTTGTTCACTTGGGGTGGGGGGCTGCATGATCATGTGTGCACTTGTTCACTTGGGGTGGGGGGCTGCATGATCATGTGTGCACTTGCAGAGGCCAGAGATCAGACACCTTCCCTTGTTGCTCTACCTTATTCTCTTAGCTTGGCGTCACTCACTGCTTAGGCTAGGCAGGCTGACTGGCCAGCCAGCCAAGACGCAGCATCTGCCTGTCTGCCACAGTAATGGAGTTACAGGCATGTGCAGACTCTCCTGGTTTTTGTGTGGGTGCTGGGGATTTGAACTCAGGTCCTTGTGCTTACATGTGCAAGCACTTTTATCACTGAGCAATCTCCCACTTGCTACCTATCCACTTTTTGCTTGTTTTGTAATTTTTATAATGTTTTTATTATTTTACATTACTTTGGGGTTTTGTTTTTGGTTTGTTTGTTTGAGACAAGGTCTCACTATGTAGCCATGAGTGGCCTGCACCTTACTATGGAGATTAGGTGGGCCTTGATCTCATGGAGCTCCCCTGCCTCTGCCTCCCGAGTACTGGAACTAAAGGTGTGCACCACCAGGCCCAGCTCTGTCCAGCTGAGTGTGGTTGCACAGGTCTGTATCCCAGCTCTTGGGAAGGCTATGGCAGAGGATGTAGACTTCCAGGCCAGCCTAGTCTACATAGCAAGATCTGTCTCAAGAAATGGAAGAAAGAACAAAGGAACCTCAAGCCTAGCCTGATAACACAGGCCTGTAATCCCAGCACACTCGAGGTCATAGCTGCCATTAGCCACATGGCAAGTTTGCTTCTCTGCCTGCCAGGACACAGCAGTGACAAAAGTGGTCATGGGACTCTCAGTCCATTAGGGCAGGGGACAAATGTGTTGTCAAAGAATAATACCCAGGTGGACACACGGCTCAATGGGTAGAGGAATTCAAAAGTCTTGCAAGCCTAGAGAGGGACTCTAACTCAGTCTAGGGACTGAGGGAGGGCTTCGAGGAGGAGGGGAACCCCAGTGTGAGGCTTTGATGTCTAAGCTGCCCCCTCACCCACAGGCGTTCCCGGTGCTAGTTGGCGATATGGATAACAGTGGTAGCCTCAATGCGCAGGTCATCCACCAGCTGAGCCCAGGCCTCAGGTCCAAGATGGCCATTCAGGTGAGTTGGGTGGGTGTGACCTGTCACCTCTCCACCCCAGGTGTTCCCTCAGCCTGTGGCACTCACGCTGCCCCTCCCCAACAGACCCAGCAGTCCAAGTTCGTGAACTGGCAGGTGGACGGGGAGTACCGAGGTTCTGACTTCACAGCTGCTGTCACTCTAGGCAACCCAGATGTCCTAGTGGGTTCAGGTAAGAGGTAGAGGCTGCGAAGATGGTCATGAAGCCCTTGTTGCAGGTCCCTACTCCCTTCCAAAGCACATGATTTTGACTTCACGGGGCCTGCCATCTTACCCTCTATACTGTGGGCAGGGTGGGAGTGACTTGCACTGGGGAGGCTGAGGTGGGCTATGAAACCCTGTCTCAAAAACCGATCAAAACAAAACAAAAGCCAGGTGTGGTGGCTCATACCTGTAATTCCAGCACTTAGAGAGTCAGAAGTTCAAAGTCAACCCAGAAAGATGGGCCAGTAGGGAAAAATACTTGCTGCCAATCCTGATGACCTGTTCAATCCTCAGGACCCATATGGTAGGAGAGAGCAGACTCCCACAAGTTGTGCCATCTGTATCTACATACATATGTGTATATACACATACCATAATTTTTTAAGTCAAAGTCATCAATGAATTCAAGGCTAGCCTGGGATACATGAGACCCTGTCTCAAAAATTAATAAAAGTAGGGCTGGAGAGGTGGCTCAGCATTTACTGTTCTTCCAGAGGATCTGAGTTCAGTTCCCAGTACCCACATTGTGGCTAACAACCATCAGTACCTCCAGTTCCAGGGGATCTGGTTCCTTTTTCTGGCTTCTGCAGGCATTGTACACACATGGTGCACTTACATGCTGGCCAAACAAAACACCAAAGCTCTGGGTATGGTGATACAAACCCGACATGCCAGCACTCACAAGGATTGGTGCAAGTTCAGTTCAGGGCAAAGCTGTTAACACAAATTAAAAACCTATGTCTTTCACAAAAAAAAAAAACAAAAAAAACATGAACAATAAAAGCTGGGGATTGGAGAGATCTCTCAGCATTTAAAAGCACTGGCTGTTTACAATAGACCTGGGTTTGAATCCCACCAGCACCCACATGACAGCTAACCTAACAGCCATCCATAACTTCTGTTCCAGGGGATCCAATGCCCTCTTCTGCCCTCTGTGGGCACTGCATGGCATAGGTGCACTTAAACCCATGCAGGCATAACACAACACTCGCACACATAAAGCAAAAATAAATCCAAAAACAAAAAAACGCTGATATAGTGGCTCACATTTGGAATCCCATTACCTGGGAGGCTGACAGAAGGGGCTTGTTGCTAGTTTAAGTTTCCCTGGGCTGTGGTGTGATACCCTGTCTGAAAAAAAGAGTGTGTGGTAGGTAAGCTGGGGTGGGGGCATGTGGCTCCATGGCAGATGGATTCCCTGGCATGGGTGAATCCCTGAACTCCATCACCATCCGCGTGGAAACAAACTATAAGGCAGTGTGGCATAGTGAGGGGACGCAGGTCTAGCTTTGGACAGATGTGGTCTGATCAGCCATGTTTGCCCTCAGGTCATTGGTGACGCTTGGTATGTGTAACACTGCTGAGTTCACATGCATGTTAGGCTGTGAATGGTGTCCGGTGCGTGCTGGGTACCAAGTGATGGGGCTGTTCATAGTGTTGGTACTCACGGGGCTCGACTTGGGTTGTTCCAGATCACAGAGTGGGTCACAGGGTGGCCAGAGGCCACATGCAGGTGTAGGAAGACAGACAAAGGCCAAGATGAAGACTAACAACCTTTGTTTCAGTTGAGAGGAAGCCAGGAGTGTCCGACCTCTATCCGTGCTTCTAGTCCCTACCCTCTCTGTTCCTTTAGGAATGTCTGTCTTATACGCAGGCCCTGGCTCAGTGGTAGAGCAGGTGCCTAGACTCCCCAGTGAGGGGCTGGGACTGTGACTCAGTGGTAGAGCCCCTGCCTAGAATCCCCCAGTGAGGGGCTGGGGTGTGGCTCAGTGGTGGAACCCCTACCTAGAATCCCCCAGTGAGGGGCTGGGGGCGTGGCTCAGTGGTAGAGCCTCTGCCTAGAATCCCCCAGTGAGGGGCTGGGGTGTGGCTCATTGGTAGAGTTCTTACCTTGCATGTGCAGGGGGTCCTTGGTTCCATCCCCAGCACTGAGTTTGGGTTTGGGGTTTCATGCTTTTTTTGTTGTTGTTGTCTTTTTGAGACAGGGTCTCCCTGTAGCCCCAGCTGGCCTGGGAACTTACTATGTAGACCAGGCTGGCCTTGAACTCACAGAGATCCGCCTGCCTCTGCCACCCAAGTGCTGGGATTAAAGGCGTGAGCCACCACGCCCAGCTTTTGTTTGTTTTTTAATTTTATGTGTATGAGTGTGTTACCCACATGTATGTAAGTGCACTCCTGTGTGCAATGCCTACAGAGGTCAGAAGAGGATTTTGGATCCCCTGGAACTGGGATTGTTAGCAACATATGGCGGCTGAGAACCAAACTCTGATCCTCTCCAAGACCGACAGTGCCCTACTCGCCAGCCCATTTTGTTTTCTGTTTTATTTTGTTTTTTTGAGGCAGGGTCTCACTATGTAACCCTGGCTGTCCTGGAATCCCCTATATAAACCAGGCTGGCTTCAAACTCAGTGAGATCACCTGCCACTGTCTCCTGGATGCTGGGATTAAAGGTGTGTGCCACCAAGCATGGCAAAAAGATACTTTGCTCAAATACTCAAAGCATGTGTTCCTGTTGGGATAAGGCCCACCTGGGTGAAGTTCAAATGACTGATTTCTTTATCTTCTGTTTTATTCGTCATTATTGTGTTTAAGTGTGTTGTTATGGGCCCATGTAGAGATCAGAGGACAGCTTTTGAGGAGTCGGTTCTCATCCTTCACTGAGGGGTGCAAGGACTGGAATCAAGTTAGTTTGTGCAGTGCTCTTCCTGCTGAGCCAACTAACTAGCTTCTAGCAAAGGGCCCCATTTTTTCCTTGAGTGACCCAGACAGCTTCTCCAGAACACCTGGGCCTCAGACCAGGGGCCCATCAGGGGAAGCGAGGAGAGGAGGGGTGGCCTCCTGAAGAAGGTGGCTGCACACCAGGGTACAGGATTGACTGGTTGAAAACCAGTGCCACTGCTCTGCAGCGTCCAACCTGCACATCTGCACAGTGACTGTAGGCATTTGGCTTCTGCCTAGGACTTCCCTGAGGAAGGATGCTGTGGGCCTTGGCCAGGTAGGCAGGGAGCAGGTGGAACATCTTGACTTGCCTTCTGCCATACCTCCCAGCCTGCCAAGGCCTACTCTTTTCTTACCTCTTAGGCACCTCTGCCTCTCAGGGTATGAATGCATTGGCACCCTTGGGACGACTTCTGTTCATCCATTTGTTCCAGAAGCATGATTTTGTTGGTCATTTCTGAAGTACCAGGCTTCATGTTACTCATTTATGTGCTTGCATTACTAAAGAGGGGACCCAAGGCCAAGGCATGCTGATCAAGCACTCTACTGAATCACACCCCCAGCCCCTCACAGGGGAATTTTGGGGGTTTGTGGTACAGTGGGGGCCAGCACAGAAGCACAGTAGGAAAGGCAGGGCCTTGTAAGGGCAGTGATAGAGGCCAGGAATAAATGTGTAAGGGCTGTAGTGCAGCTCTGTGACACAGCACATAACATGCATGGGTGCTGGGTTCATCTGCAGTGCTACAAAGAAGTGGGGCTGCAGTGACAGTTCACTTGATATTGATAAAGTGCTGACCTAAAAAAGCCCTGTGTTTGGTTCCCAGCAGCCACATAAACCAAGTATGATGGAGGCTGGAGAATCAGAAATCCAGAATCATCCTTGGCTCTAGAAGGTGTTGGGAGGTCCAAGTCGACTTGGGGTAGATTCTGTCTCAAACTAGCTGAGTCAGGTGTGGTGGCACACACTTTTAATCCCAGCACTCAGGAGGCAGAGGCAGGTGGAGCTCTGTGAGGTTGGGGCTACTGGAAGACCCTGTCTCAAGAAAAAAGAAACCTAGCTGAGATTGTGGGGCCTCGTACCTTAATCCTAGCATTAGAAAGAAGGCTGAAGGATCCTTGGAGTCCAGACCCTCCAGAGTTACTTAGAGTCAAGAGAATAAAATGGAGATGACAGGGCGGCTCAGCAGGTAAATGTGCTTACTGCCAAGACTGGCAATCTGAGTTCAAGCCCTGGGACCTACAAGGTAGAGAGAGAAAACTGACTCCTGCAGGTTGTCCTCTGCCCTGGGATAAATATGGGGGCGGTGGGGGTAAAGTCTTGAGATGAGTGTTGTGGCATACTTCTATAATCCCAGCCACTTGGGAGGCTGAGGCAAAAGTTCACCAGCAAGTTTGCACCCAGCCAAGGTTCTATATATATCAAGAGCCTGTCTTTTCAAAGAAAAGGAAAAAAAAGATAAAAAATAAAGCCAGAGCTGGGAGACATGGTGAACCCGGAATAACGCCACAGTAGAGCCTGAGGCAGGATGGAAGTTTTGAAGGCCTGCCTGGGCTACACAGTGGGACCCTGATTCAGAAAAACACCCAATACTAAGTGGAATGTCATTAAGTCAGAAACTTCCAATGTAATCCATAGGCAGGAGCAAGGGTAGGACATGTAGACCAGGCAATGTGAGACCTGGTATCCCGAGATGATGGTGGCTTTAGCAATGAGAGAAGCAGCCAGACCTGGGGAACACATAATTGTAGATGTTTATCTAAAACCCAGCTGGACACAAGGAAAGGTTCATTGGCAGAAACAGTGACAGTCCTGAGGAGAGCGTTCATGTAGCCCATGGTGTGGGGCCATGGCTCTGTTTTGAAGCTGAGCTGTGATGTGAGGAGTTCAGATTGTCGTGAGGCACTGGGCCGCTATGGCAGTTTCTTAAGAGAACAGAATCCGGATTGTGCTTTGGTGAGACCCAGGTCTTTGAAGAGATTGAACCTGTGCAGATCAGAGGAGGCTGTGGGTGGAAAAATGGCTTAAGGGCACAATGATGTCCACAAGACTGAGGATTGTTAGAGAGGCATTTAGGGGTGGCTTGGTCTTCAGTCCTGCTGAGGGACTGGGGGCTCTACCCTGAAGTCACTGTCTGTAAATGCCCACTCATGGCTCTGTGCCTGTTTCCTCCTAGTTGAATGAGGATGGTGACCTGAGGAGTGTTGGGAATGGATTAATACCCATTCTAAAGCTAATAGTCATGAGTTAATGTGTAACACTTATTCATTGAGGGATCTCCCACACTGGCCTCCATGAACCCCTGAAACCTGGCTCTGCCCTAGGCATGATCACAGTCTCAGGGAATTCATGCAGGGTCCTGGCTGGGAACTCTGGGCCCACCTCACCCATGTTGGGGCTTAGCCCTTCAGGCAGGCCAGCTGCTCTTCTAGAAGTGTCTTTGCATTCTGCCACCCTCTCTCTGCAGGCTTCCTCTTTTCTGCCTGGGAACTAGTCTGCCCACCTAGCCTTAGTGGGATCTAACAGTAGAACTCTTCAATCATTTCTTCCCAACTGTTCAGTCTTTTTTTTTTTGGAGACAGAGTCTCCCTGTAGCCCCAGCTGGCCTAGAATTCACTATGTAGACCAGACTAGCCTCAAACTCAAAAGAGATCCACCTCCCTCTGCCTCTCACGTGCTGGAATTAAAGGCCTGCACCATCATGCCTGGCTCAGTCTTTTATTTTTTATCTGGGGCTTTATATATGATAGGCAAGAGCTAAACCATTGAGCACACTCCCAGCCCCTCGCTGGGGGATTCTAGGCAGGGGCTCTACCACTGAGCCATGCCCCAGCCCTTGTCTTGAGTATTTCTCTGTCACTCTGTCTCTGCTCTTTCCTCCCCAGCTCGCCTTCTGTCCTGTAGAATTGCAGTAGTGCTTTGTCCTCTACTCAGTCCTTGACTTTTGGTCCAGCCCGTTAGTGGCCATTTGGTCATTGAGACATCCCTCCTATGGAGAGACAAATGCCCCGATTGACTTTCCAGTAGCCAGTCCCATTGATAAGGATACTCTCACTCTCCCTTAGCCACAGCCCCAAGGGTAATCCTGCCAGCCCAGGTCTCAGATGGCAGGTGGGTGGGTTGGGGTCTGGACCTCAGCTGTGCACATCAAGCTGTGTGCTCTTCGTGTCACTTCCCTGCATTCCTGCCTAGGTGCATTTCATGACTGTGAGAGGGAGTGTGACTTGCCTCTACCCTTTGTAAGTTGTGGTGAGGGGGTGCTGCCTGTATAGGGTGGTATAGCCCAGGTGAGGCAGGTTTGGAAGACTGAACTCAGAATGGGGTACAGTGCTCTGGGCTACTTAGGGAGGAGTAGATGTGGAGAGCTGAGGGTGGACCAGCCTGGGCTGGAGAGCCTGACCATTTTCTCCCCTGACAGGAATCCTGGTGGCCCACTATCTGCAGAGCATCACACCATGTCTGGCCCTGGGTGGAGAGCTTGTCTACCACCGGCGGCCTGGCGAGGAGGGCACTGTTATGTCTCTAGCAGGGAAATACACATGTGAGCCTGGGGCACATTGGTGGTCTGAGGGAGGAGGGCCAGGGTCTGAACTAAGGCTCTGGGTTTCTAGGTACCCTCGCCCCATTTATCCCCTCTCCCTACCCAACCCTGCTTTTATAGTGAACAACTGGTTGGCGACAGTCACACTGGGCCAGGCAGGCATGCACGCAACATACTACCACAAAGCCAGTGACCAGGTGAGGTGGAGCGAGTACTGCTGCCCAGTATGATCTTCCAGGCTGGGGTTGCCTGTGCAGGTGTGCCAAGGATACCCTGTGGGCAGCTCACAAGTGTGCCTGACTCTGCCTCCCCAGCTGCAGGTGGGCGTGGAGTTTGAGGCCAGCACCAGGATGCAGGACACCAGTGTCTCCTTTGGGTACCAGCTGGACCTGCCCAAGGCCAACTTCCTCTTCAAAGGTAAAGGCCTCAGTTTCCCTTCCTGGAAAACAGACCAGGGGTGACTCAGCTGGCGGTGGGGTATAGACCACAGGAGATAAGGTGGATGATGGTGTTCAGGGGCCATTGTGTACCTCCAAATTACCCAGGGAGGCTGTTGGGCACTGGGGGCCCCACCCTGGCACATCTGGTGAGTGTTGGGGACACCAAACTTCTCCCACTCTTCCAGCGCCTAAGCGAGAGCTCTGCTCAGGGCTTTGCCCCACCTGTGAATAGAAGGCAATTTGGAAGCTCCCAGCCCTTCCCATTCGCATTAGTGGAAACAGGTTCCAGGGATCTGGGAGGGGACAGCCAGAGGCAGGCAGTGACCTGGGCTTGACCTCCTTGGTGCTGAGGTTAGGGTGGGTACAGTATGTGGGATGGACTTGGGCTGGTTTCTGGGGTGCTCCCCAGCCTAGGAGTTTTATCTGCAGCATAGTCTCTCCTGGTGACCCTTGCAGTTTGGTGTCCTGCTGTAGGGCCCCTGACTAGCTCTGCTGTTTCAGTCCCAGTCCCATGTCCTACCTCTTCCTGGTGTGGGGACAGCTGAGCATAGTGCCCAGCCCCTAAGACTCTGGTGCCTAAGCCTTGGGACGTTTCAGCCTTTGATTGAACATGCAGAACACTGGCTGTAACCAGCCCAGGTTGTGCAGGACTCCCAGTGGAGTGTAGTCACCATCCCCTGAGATGGGGGGGGGGGGGGGGGGGGGGGGGGGGGGGGGGGGGTGGAGTCCCAGAGCTGGAGAGGAAGCCCTCTGCTCCTGGGATAAGGTAGCTGGGTGGTGCCGACACGTGGTTAGGGTCCCATGTGGTTGTGTCCTCACCCTTTTGCTGTTGCCCACAGGCTCGGTGAACAGTAACTGGATTGTGGGCGCCACGCTGGAGAAGAAGCTGCCCCCGCTGCCCCTGACACTGTCCCTCTGCGCCTTCCTGAACCATCGCAAGAACAAGTTCCTTTGTGGCTTCGGCCTGACCATTGGCTGAGCCTCACGCCTTCCTCCGCAGACCCAGGCCACCTTGCCTGCAGCCCGCTGGGCGCCGCCGCCTTCCCCTCCTTTCCCTCCCTCCAGGGGTCGGGGCAGCGGGAAGGAGGGGACCCACCCCAGCAGCCAGCTGAAGAGCAGCTTCTGGAACCCAGGGGGCCACTTGAAGATCCCCGGTGCCCTGGGACATCGGAGCCCGGGAGCCCGGAGGACGTTTGTGGAGTTGAAGGGCACTGATCAGAGGCAGCCGGACAAGCTCAGGGAGCGTAGCTGGATGTCCCCATCCTCCCCAGAGCACTACGGAGCGCGCCGAGGGCAGCAGAGAAGCGTCCCATCTGCTAGGCCGCCGTGTCACTCCCCCTCCACCCCTCCATAGAAATCATGTTTATAAGTTATGGAAGAACCGGGACATTTTACAGAAAAAACTTCAAAAGCAAAAAATACACATGAAAAAAAAAGGATCTGGAAAGCCTGGGTTTTCTCCAGCTCCCGACGTCCCCGCGGCTGCCAGCAGGGGGCGCCGAGGTGTGCGGCAAGGCGGCTCACGTGGCTCAGGGAACGCCTGGCAGGGGAACGCAGGGAGGACTCCTGCGCAGCCCAGCCGGGACTTCACTGGTCTAGCCTGGCCAAGAGGGCTGCGCCCGAGGTCACTCGCCCCCTGGGTGGTGCAGCCAGAGTGGTGGCCGAGGACTTTGTCTTTGCAAACAGGCTGCAGGGCTGGCAGTGCTGGTGGGGGCAGGGCTGGGGCCCAGGGTCTCCCCAGGTGGCAGAGAAAGGCTGAGGTGGTAGGGTGTGGGACCTTGTGACGGGAAGGGCCGAGGTCTTGAAAACTTCAGGAAGAAACCAAGTTCCTGGATAGGCTTCAGAACAATTCTGGAATGAACTGCCTGGGGGGGAGGAAGGGGCCTCGAGTGTGACAAAGGAGGGGTTCAGCTTCGGCCACAAATCTTTTTGCTGCGCTGAGGATGGAATCCAGGGCCTCACGTGCCAGGCAAGTGCTCCTTGTGGGGCTGCATCCCTGCCCCTTTTGTTGGGAGGGTTGAGACGGGGTCTCCTGGCCTGCAGCTGGATCCTGCCTCCACAGGCCGTGGGACCCACAGGAAGTGTCACACTTCACCAAGGTTGAGTTCAGATGAACTGATTTAGATCCCTCCAGACAGGGGAACTGAAACTCTGTCTATCCCCCGGTCTGGGGAGGAGGTGACCCAGAAACCTTGCCACACCCACTCCCTGCCAGGGTGCTCCAAAACTAACAGGCCTGGGCCTGGCTAGGTACCCTGTTCCCTTCCTGGAACCAGGTGTTCTGCCGCCTACCCTGCAGTCATGTTCCTACCCTTCCAGCTGCAGGCAGACCTTGCTGTGTGTTTAGCCTCCCACCTCCACCCTCTGGGCTGCAGCTGGGAACCGGAGGCAAGGCTAGCAAGCCGCCGGTGTGTGAGCTCTCCGCTCTATTCAAGATGGTATAGGTGCAGCTGCTGTTTGTGTGAGGTTTCGTCCCATTATCACAGCAGACTCCAACAGCTGTGATCCTTCTGCCTCTGCCTCCTGAGGCAATAGAACTACAGGCATGTGTCCCTACAGGTGGCTGCTTTACCGATTTTATGGGTAAAGAAACTACTTTTTTTAAAAAAGCCAAACGTGGAGTTCAAGGCCAGCTGAGACTACAGGGAGACCCTGTCTCAAAAAGACCAAAAAAAAAAAAAAAAAAAAAAAGGCCAAGTGTAGCACATACCTGTAACTCTTGTTTGTACTGGGGAGGCTGAGGCAGGAGAACTGAGTTTGGGGACCCTGGCTCCTGGAATGCCCATTGCCTGAGCCAGCCGCGGATGGGAGAAAGATACCTGGTGTCACTAAAGAGGGGGCCCGGCTTCACCCTGCAGCCACTGTCACCAGTCCTTTTCTGCCTAGGCTTCGGGTGTGCTCAGCCACCCACAAGGAAGGGGATGCTGGGTGCTAGCACCCAAAAATGGAGAAAGATGCCTGAATTCTTGGGTGAGGTGTCTCTCTTCCTGGGGGCTGGGGGTGGGGGGTCACAAGGCCTCCAAGCCCCACCTCTTTTCTCTGCCCTGCTGTGAAGGGAAAGAGACTGCCCGCCTCGTGACAGGGGGCTGGTTCAGCCCGCCCTAACTCTGGGGAGGGGGTGGGGCGGGGGGAGCCCTATAATTGGAGGAGGACGGGATCCCAGATCCCTGCGCATCCCCTGGAGCCTAAGGACTGGTTTCCGCAGGAGCTGGTAAGGAACAGTCATCGGGCAAAAGGACTCAGGGGCCTTGGGACAATGTGGGCTGGGGACCTTGGGGCTCCCAGGAATCGGGGGTTTGGGGGCTCAAGGATTGGAGAAGACAGGAAGCTCAATAGAGCCACTTGGGGACTTGCTAAGGAGCTAGATGCCTATGCCCGGGTTACGACTGTTGGAGCTGAAGGGATAGGGGACTGGCTGTGGGAGCATTCCCAGCCTAGCTAGAAGATGGGATGTGAAAGAAAGCAGGGGATGAGCTAGAGAACACGCATCTATTAAACACCGACTGGATTTCCCCCACCTTCCTCAGGTAGCCCAGGCTGGCCTCAAATTCGCGATCCTACTGCCAACACGTCCGGAGTTCTGGGATTATGAGAGGGCACTTCCTTATTGGGTTAGAGGAGGACTGCTAAATGCGGGTTAAATTAGCACCAAAATGTAAAGCTTTAAGTTGGAGTTTAAAACCCTAGGTAGAAAAAGAAATGTTAAGTTGGATTTGAGAGGCCGGCTGGGGCTCCTGGAACTCCGGGAGAGGGTGGAGTGGAATTTGAACCCTGGAAGACGGAATTTTGGCAGCGGAGACACCCAGGGGATGCCCAGGGGATGCGGAGAAAGGAAACCAGGAGGGAGTAAAAAGTCCTGGGGCGGGGGGGGGGGGGG